GTGAGCTGTAGCTCACGAAAGCTCATGCTCAAATAAATTGGTTAGTCTCTAAGGTGCCACAAGTACTCCTTTTCTTTTTGCGAATACAGACTAACACGGCTGTTCCTCTGAAACCTGGCAAAGATTATTATTTATGGTCCATTTTTTGGTTTAAAAAACATACATATGGAGAAATAACGATTATAGTGTAAATTCAAGATGGTGTGGAAGATCTATGCACACTGTGAAATGCTGATAGGCTGCCGTTGAAATTATGACAATGTAATTCTATAGAATGTTGACAAGACAAATACAGAGCATGAAATGTACAAGCAATTTTTTCCCAGCCAGATATAATTATCAGTGCTAAAGCCACAAGTGATACCAAAGGACAAAAGAAGATCAGTCTAGACTTTCTCACTTACAGGATATTGATCATTCTGATGGTAAACTAGTTAGTATAAGTGTGCTTGGCTTGAAAGGTCATGAGCTTAACCCCCTGACAAAGAGTTATTCAACCTTGACTTGTCAAATTATTGTAGTGTTGCTGGAAGGATATTCTCTAATACAATCGCTTACCTGGCCTCAGGAGAGATTAAATGTGTCTTCTGTCCCATAAAAAAAAAAGCTAAGCAAACTAAGACATTGTTGACACTGGAGAACCACTTATGTGTTGGTTCCTGGTACTTACACGCTTTGAGTTGCAGGTAGGTTTCAGGTGTACCACAGTAGTAATTCTTTCATCCCACTGGACATGGATGAAATCCTGGCTCCATTGATGGCAATGAGTGTGGTGATTAACTTCAATGTGGCCAAGATTTCGCCTGATCTCCGATGCACGCTTCCAGCCAGTCAGTTATCTGGTGTCAGAGGATGTTGCTTACTCACCTGCCTGAAGATGATCACAGCAACTGTAATCATCTATCGGCAGGTGAGTTATGTTCACATAAGAACATATTTTGCATGCTTAGCCATTTTGCCAATTACTTTTATCGGGGATGGGTAAGAACCTAAGAACTGCCATACTGAGTCAGACCAATGGTCCATCTAGCCCAGTATCCTGCTTCCAATAGTGGCTTGTGCCAAATGTTTCATGGGGCATGAACAAAACAGGGCAAGCATCAAGTGGGCCATCCTGTCATCCAGTCCCCACTTCTGGCATTCAGAGGTTTAGAGACACGCAGAGCATGGGGTTGCATCCCTGACCACCCTGGCTAATAGCCATTGGTAGACATATCCTTCATGAACTTATCTAATTCTTTTATGAATCCAGTTATAGTCTTGGCCTCATGACATCCCCTGGCAATGAGTTCCACTAGTTGACTGTGCATTGTGGGAAGAAGTACTTCCTCTTTTTTTGTCTTACACCTGCTGCCTATTAATTTCATAGGGTGACCCCCCCTAACTCGTGTGTTATATAAAGGGCTAATTAACACTTCCTTATTCACTTTCTCCACACCAGTCATTATTTTATAGACTTCTATCATATCACCACGTAGTCATTTCTTTTCTAAGATGAACAGTCACAATCTTTTTAATCTCTCCTCATAAAGAAGCTGTTCCATACCCCTAATCATTTTTGTTGCCCTTCTCTATAACTTTTCCCAGATCTAATATATTTTTGAGATGGGGTGACCAAAACTGCACACAGTATACCAGGTGTGGGCACACCATGGATTTATATAGTGGCATTTTGATATTTATTGTCTTCTTATCAATCCATTTCCTAATGGTTCCTAGTAGTCTCTTTGAAAACATCTCCTCGGTGTGTAGCGGCAGGCAAAAAATGCAGAGAACTATCCAAGATGACGTGAAGATCTGTTTCTTGAATGGCAGCAGCTAGTTTAGTTCCCACCATTTTGTTTGTATAGTTGGGATTATGTTTTCCAATGCACATTACTTTGCACTAATCAGCATTGACTTTGGGCAACAAAACTCCAGATTAGAGACTCAGTTTTGTGAGATCATCACAGTCAGTTTTGGATTTAACTATCTTGAGTAATTTTATATTGTCTGCACCTTTACCACCTTTTCTAGATCATTTATGAATATGCAGAATAGCAGTGGTCCCTGTACAGATCCTTGGGATAACTCTGCTATTTACCTCTCTCCACTGTGAAAACTGACTATTTATTTCTACCCTTTGTTTCCTATCCTTTAATCAGCCATGAGAAGACCTTCAGGGGGAGGGATAGCTCAGTGGTTTGAGCATTGGCCTGTTAAACCCAGGGTTGTGAGTTCAATCCTTGATGGGACCATTTCGGGATCTGGGGCAAAAATTGGGGCTGGACTAGATGACCTCCTGAGGTCCCTTCTAATCCTGATATTCTATGATTCTATGATCCCAGAACTGCTTAAAGAGCCTTTGATATAGTACCTTGGCAAAGGCTTTCTGGAAGTCCAAGCACACTATATCCACTGGATCGTCCTTGTCCATATACTTGTTGAACCCCTAATAGAGTGGTGAGGCCTGATATCCTACAAATGCTATATTGATTCTTCCCCAACATATCATGTGATTGAAAAGGGAAATGTTGACCTCAGAATGAAAGAATAGGAAAAAGATAGAACCGCATGTGAACAGTTCCTCACCATGGCGGTAGAAAGTGTTTATAGCCTCTTGGTTGCCCGCACATCAGAAAATAATAGCAAATAAATTGGTACATATTTATGAATACATCTCAGAAACATTCTTTATCCCCTTTTATATGTGTTTTTATGGAGGTAAATGGAAAGTGACTATTAACACTACCAGGTGTTTGCAAAAAGCATGCTGGCTGTTTTCCAAAAGTATAAGTAACACCATCTATTTTTCTTTATTCAGTCCTTTTTTTGTTTTGCTGGCATAATACGAGTTAAGGTCTATAGAGTTTGCTTTTGTATTCGACCTAAGAGCACTTGTCTGCAAATATTACTCCCTAACAGATTGATTCCAGTGTTCATTACAATTAGTTAAGTATATATCAATTTCAGTAAATTATCTGGAAAAAAATATAACCTGGTCAATAAATAAAGCTGACTGCAACTGCACCAAAATTTATACCAGAATACAGTAAAATTTTCAAAGTCAATGGCTTAGAATTATCTATGCCATGAATCATTCATCAACATGGAGATCATGTTTTTAAAATGTTTGCTCCTTTTGAATCCCCCTTGCATCTTCTTTATGTGGTGCTAGCCAGCCTGTTTCTAAGTGTGCAGGGTTGGAAGGGACCTTGAGAGGTCATCAAGTCCAGTGCCCTGCGCTGATGCTCTGCCACTTGGGGCCAACAGAATGCCCTTTGCTTGAGGAAAAACAAAAAGGAAGTTTATTTTTACACAGGCTTGCTTTGCTCAGAAAACAGAGAGGAAAAAACTTCAATCTTTGACTAGGAAAAAATGTTGACATCCAAATTCTGGATACAGTAACATATTAGTGTCACTAAGCATTTGTTAACCATAGGCATAGGTGTCAGATGAACCTGTTCAGCAGAGTAAATGCATGGCAGTGCCTTCATACTGATGACAGATATAGCTATCTGTGAGATTAAAACAGGCTTTTCTCTCCAATGTGGACCACTACCAAGAGGTAAAACAGATATCCTTTGAAGGAAGGCAATCTTTCTGAGTACCAAATTCTCATAAAAGCATACAATATTTCAGCAGTGAAGAATGACAAGGTGTGCATTATTAGTTATTAATGTCTGCCTAAGTGGGAGTGTAAGGCCCAAGGCCTCAGGAAGAATATCAGTAACGTTTAATTACACCTCATAACTTACCCAAAAATGTCATCCTATGACACAGTGTTTCTCTGTTGTCTTAGATCTGTTAGTATTCTATTGGATTGCTCCTTTTTGCCAGGAACTAGAAAGCCAATGCAATTGTTAGGATAGCATGTGGCGGAAGCTACTTACTTTCTCTTCCCCTGATAAGTAGCTGTCCATTTTAATAATGGTTTTTACCCGCCCCCAAACTCAATTTTTCCCAATCTAAACCCATCTCCCTGAAAATTTTCAGGCATGATTTAATGTCAGGGTTTAATTTATGTGGAAAATTTGATGCAAACTGGACAAGGCATTTGGGAAATATGAAGCATAAAAAAAATGAGGTGATCTCACGTCTAAACTATTTTCTTCACATTTGTTCTGGCCCACCTAACTCCAGAATGACTTGCCCTAGAAACACCAAACTTACGGGCCTTGATGAGGACTGATACCTTCAAATAGTTTGTGGGGAAGGGGTAGAATTATTTACTTACTGAAAGCCGTTTCCATGTACTTTGTGGATTATGCAGGGTTTATAAATACTGCATGACCTCAATATGGAGTTCCTATACTGTGCATGGCCCTTTTGGGAATGGTCATGACATAGGTAGAGAAACAACAAAGTGTCAGGCAAGAGAACCATCAGTTCTTCTGGGACCAGTCTGGGAAATGAAGGAAGAGAATGATATGGGGGCTGGAGAACTGGTCTGGGGATGAACCTGAGCTGGTCAAAATACCACTGGGAGAGTGTGGTTGCTGCCACACCCTTTGAAAAGGTGTACCATCTGGTTCCCCCATATGGGGCCTGCTCTCCTAGTTGGTGTAGAAGGCGGGCAATACCCCCATCTTCAGCTCCCCATGTCTACAGCTGGTGCTAGGCTTGTTCTCAGGGAATGTAATCAGTGCCTGTATGTGGGCACAAAAAGGGGGAGCACCTCTAATGCCCTCTCTAGCCCTTGTGCAGTGCTGCAACATTTTAGTCTTCTATATTCTGGACTGGATTACACACAAGCTGAAAATAAAAGCACTCAAAACAAAGTGTATTATTATTATTGTTATTATTATTAAAATGGGCATTTAGTATGATGGAAAGGGACTAGGCTATTTATTTAGTGTGCTGTTAGGTTTTAACACCCATCCACCAGCTAATCAAACCTAAGCCACTTCATGAATCTAGAGGAGGAAACTCATAGAAGAGAGAACAATTATCAATAACATGAGTAATAATGGAGTGAACTAAGGTTCTATTTACAATCTTTATTTCTGTTTTGTTTATAGAAAAATGATGCTGGAATGCTGATGGCTTAAGACAACTTTTTGGCATGAAGACAGCTACAAAGCACAAAAAACAAAATATGAACTCAGAAAGAAACAAGAAAAAAAACAGCGTTTTCATGGCATCGACAAGAAGCTCTTTATTTTTCCTCAAGTTTTCTTTTCTAAAAAAATGGAACTAAAACATTTGCAGAAACAAGACAAACTTTCTCTTCAGGTGACAATATTCAAGCATGTTCTTTTACTAAATTTAAATTGAAAGAAAAAAAAAACTTTGAACAGGATGCAGTATCAGGAGAACTGTGAACCTTGAAAGACAACAAAACAAACTCTTTAAAACTGTGAACCAAGAAATGGAAGGAACAACTTTTAAACCCCTGATTACACCCTGTGTGTTCTTAAGGAGACAACATCATCTTTTCCTAAAGCAACAATATTTAGGGAATGGTTTGCAACATACCTTTTATTATAATCTTTTAAGGAAAACCTGCATATTTAATAATTAGCAATGGAGTAAATCTGATTTTACCATTTCTGTTCAAATGTCTTTTTGCACCTTCCTTTTCTAGACAGCACAGTTATATTTGCAGCCAGCAGCCAAGGGCAGGGAAGCTTGCGTTCTTTATTACTATTAATTTTGTTTTTATTTGCCACACCCAATAAAAACTTAGTAGGGAAAAAAATAAGCAGCGCTATCATCTCCTGATCAGTGCATAAGGCCTAACAGCAAATAATTACCACACTATAGAGGAAATCCCATGTTATTTTGGGGCTATTCATGTAGCCATTAATCAAAGCATCAAAAAATATACTCTGCATTGCTCTTCTAAAATAACTCAAAAGATGCCTCCTTGAATTATGCTTTGAACGGGCTATAACCAAAAGAAAGAGAACCAAGACTAACTAAACCCCAGAAAGCGATACTGTCCCTTTAACTCACAGTATTCCCCACTTCCCATTAGTACTTAGCATTTTTCACTATGTTCTGACTGATATTATTTCATTTAACACAAGCTAATCTGTATCTGAGGTATATGGAAACCCTTGAGATGATAAGATTGGAAAGGCTCCAGAGTTGGCAGTTTTCTAGTGTGCACATACTCTGTGTGTTTTGATCCTTGCAGAAGCTCCCTGTTATTTGGACTGCCTGCCAATTCGTTCTTGGATCAGTCTCTCGCTTAGCTCCCACAAGGCTGCAGCCATCACTTCATTCTGGGCCTCTTGTGATGGCAAACAGCGACAGCAGTTGTTGAAGTACATTCCTCCCAGGCCCTCCAGCTCTGGAGCGGTGGCACAGTAGACAGTTGTGGCAGCTCCTTGTTGCTAGAATTGAAAAAAAGAAACAAACAAAAAAACATATTATAGTTCTAATTTTGACTGTGGTCCTATGAAGCCATGTGTCTTATTAAAATACCCATAAAAAGCATTGCAACTGACAGGTAACTCACAGCATGACAGTGTTAAGGGTATTGGATGGTAGTGTTAAAGACACTACATTACTATCTGGAAGCCAATTTGAATACACCTTGGTGACCTTGTTTCTTTTTTTGCACCTCTTAAAGCAAACTCAAAATACAGGGGTCCAAGGTCTATGCCATCTTTACTCAGACAAAACGTTCTGCAACTTCAGTGAGAATCTTGCCTGAATAGAACTTCAGGATCTGGCCAGCTGGGATTATGTGAAACAAACACAAAAATTTAAAAGCAACACACACACCATGTAAAACCTTCCTGATTTTCCTTTGGAACAAAAAAAACCCTACTTACCAAACTACTTAATATCCACCACTTCCTAGTTTTGATAAGCAATCCAGACTGACGTATTTTATATCTTTAAAATCTCTTGTACAATATTAACCCGGACATTCCAATTAAGGCCTATCATGTAAAGTGCTAATGGGATCTGTGCCCAAACTGTCCAGATATCTTTGGTCAACAATTTTACTGTGGCAGCTGTCACCACTGCTGTGTGAGAATGTTTATCTACTGCGCACAGAGAGTGTAGTTCTTAATTTGCAGAGATTCAATGCTATCCAGCGGTTTTGCCATCCTTCTAAGACCTACTTCTAGCGTCTTGTAAATCACTAAGAAATATAACAAATAGATTAGAGCTGTGGAGGCAGCTTTTTTTATTATTATTCAAAAATCTAAGCTCCAATGAGGAAAATTGATCGCTTTGAATTTTTCTGATGGAAAGCGGAGGGATTAACAGTTGAGGCCATAACTTTTTAGAGAGTGCATGCGTGCCTGTGGTGGGATATTGCATCATCAGGATTGGCAAAGCTGTGTCAGAAAAGCTGTAAAGAGGGCAAGAAACCACTTTGCTTTGCCAGCTATAATTAGGATGGAGCTCATTGCGAAACACCTTGTACGCAGCTCTAATTTAAAACCAATACAGTTTATCCAGGATCTGATGATTATTAATGTACATCATAGTCCTGTGCCATATGTGGCAACAAATTAAGAATCAGAATAGAGAGGCTATCGAGTATGATAGAAAAGGTAACTAAAGAGAAAATAGATGTTACTGAAATGAGATTTGATAGGGGGCAAGAATGGGCTTCACTCTCTTTTCCTCCAAATTATTTTCTTCTCTCAGTTCCAATGATTATAACCATGGCCTCTCACAATGCTGCTAATGGATCAGCCAGTGATGGAGTGGCAACCAAACCACATATTTAATGTTCTCATCTTTCAGTGGCAGCTTTGAGTCTGAATTGTCCTCAAGTTGGGTTTCTCCTTTGCTCTCAAATTATGTAGCATGGCAAAGAAAGGTACATTACATTTTTGTAGGGTCCATATTCTTCTCTCAAGATGGGAATAAGCTGAGAATGACGACTCAGAAATGGTCTGTTGGGACACCACCAATATTGGCTGGTGCAATGAGGAAAAATAAGATTATTTCTGGACAAAAGAGCCTTTTCAGGTTAAATTGCTAAATATTAAAATGATTTTATTAAACCAAATCATTTATTTGAGGAAACAATGCCTTTATAAATGTGTTTGGTAGAATCTAGTAGCAATAACACCTACCACAATGTAATATGGTTCTATAGCAATTACAATAAAAGTAATATAATTTACAGATAATTATAGGCTTTCTGTAGAGTTCCACAGCCTAAGTATTCCATCCAATTTCATAGAGTGGTTCAAAACACCCATAGAAAGTTATTGTTTTTGTATTCTATCCCACAGGATTTTCATAAGAGTAAAATAAAACGTATGTTTAACGCCAAAGACTAATTGCTATACTGTGGCTGAAAAGCAGCTTTCTAGCTAGCTCAGGCTAGATTTAATCAGAAGTGAGCTCATTCATAAAATGGAAGTTTTACTGTAGTTTATGATTTTTTAACTTCTGATGAACCAAACTCACTTTTTAACAAAATCTTCAGTAGTTAATAGGGGCCAAATATCCCATAATGTAACTGGTAGATACCAATTCAGGGTCTGGTCCTGTAAACCCGACAAAGCTAAGCTCCAGGTGAACACAACATGAGTGCTGGTGCACGGACATCTTTATTTAAAGTGAAGATAAAGGATGTGAAGCTGGAAGACTGCAATATTTTACCATTTAAAGCTTCCATTGTTTCTTACTATGTCAAGTGCTACTTCACCTACTTCCAAATGTTGTGCTCATTATGTGGGCTATTCTGGAGAAACGAGCACAGCAGCTTTATCATCAAGAGAACAATACTTTTTTTTTGTCCTTAAGAAGGGAAGTTAAATCATATTTATCCCACAGAAGCAAACAATGTGGTGGGTGAAACTAATAATATTTAGCATTGACATCTTCAGAGCAACGCACTAACACTAAGTAATTAAAGCTCAGAACATCCCTACAGGCACATCAGTATTACTGACCACATTTCAACAGGTGGGGAAACAGACACACACCCCAGGTTTACATTTAAACATCCGTGGCGGCTCATGTCAGCTGGCTTGGGCTATGGGGCTGTTTAATTATGGTGTAGATGTTTGGGCTCGGGCTGGAGCCTGGGCTCTGGGACCCACGGGGAGGCTGGAGCCCAAACATCTATATCGCAATTAAACAGAGCCATAGCCCGTGTCAGACGACATGGGCCAGCCATGGGCGTTTAATTGCAGTGTGGACATACTCACAGGGGCCTAGCCCAAAGCTACAGAAGGAGCCAGTGTCAAAAAGGTGATTAGAACTAATGAGTTCCTGGCTCTTTGTCTTGTGCTCAGGCCATTAGACCATGCTGCCCTACTGAGTGCGAAGGCTTTGAGGGGACAAAGTATCCCTTTAAATCCAACTGGAACCCAAAGTGCTTTAGGAGGGGTTTATAATGCAGAGCCCTCAAAATGCCAACACAACCACACATACTTAAACGGATTGGGAGAACACTTTTTTTCTCAGCAAACATTGTTTATCCTTCATCAGCACTGTCATTTGAGTGATACCTTTATATGGTAAGCCATTATATGACAGTTTAATAACAAGTTTTAATTTTTTGCTCATCAGCTTTCCGGTTCACATATCATCAGCATAAGACAAAACAGGATGTCAGGGAATCTAATTAGTAAACAATTCCATACTGCTGATACAAGATGAAACATTCTTAAACTGCTAAAAAGAGCACTTTAATCACCGATGAATGACTTCCAATGCCAAAGCGGTTTGTGCCATGTCAGTACATAATTTGAAACAGATTAAAGTACCATATAAAAGAATTAATGTTAACAACTCCATTAAAAAAGTCTTAAACAGTGAGCTTGTCAGTTGTCACAAATGTCCATGATCTATTGTGATTTAAAAAGAAAACTTATAAACAATGATAGAAGGTCTGGGCAACCAAAACACTTTTTTTTTTTTTATCAGAAGACTGTCAGTTGTATGTGGTGCTAATCACCAAAGCTGGGGGGGTCAGCCATCTTTAACCTGTAACAAAAGTAGTGAGTTAGAATGATGAATACACAGGATAAAGAATTTCTGAGGAGTCCAGCTGAATCTTTAATCATGCCTGAATGCCATTTCCGATCCAGTCAAACATTTGAAAGCTGCCAGGCTAGTCCCATGCCATCAATCTTTATAGTGTATATAAAATTACCCAGGAATCTTGTTTTGGCTTAAGTTAAAGAGTGTCTTGGTAATAAGGGTTCATCATTCTCTTTCACAAATCATTTGTCAGATTTGCAGTACAATCTTAAACTACTGCAGGGTGGGATTTATAAAGCAGTTTCTGTTTGTTTATACTTGAGCCTCAAAAATCTAAATTATCCATCCTTCCAAAATCCTTTGTTGGGATAAAAATGTTAAGTAGCTACGAGTTTGTAGGCATTTATTTGCTAACTGCTAGCTATCAATTTGTAGCTGATGGCACTGAATAAAATGAAAATCGAGTATCTTAATGGTAAAATAAACGGAGTTCTTGATAGACAGTATATGGTAAAAAAACCTCATTAATATATGTAATGCACCCATTAGTATTCTAACTTACTATTTATGTTCCTGATAAGAAAACATAGTATACAGTTAATGTTTAGTTTTCAGATTTGTCTATTTTCAAGTGCATGTTTATTTTCTAAAATTAGAGACCTGTTCTGAAGCAGGTTTAAAAATGAAGCATATAAATAAAAGAAACAAAAGTTATAATGTACCCGTATATTCATCAACCACAAATGAATAGGCACCATTCTAAACAGTATTAATGGCATACCAATAGAACTGAACATTGCAAAGCAATGGAGATTGAAAAAGATGTGATTTATTTTATGTAATGAACAATTAAGAGTAAGGGTTTGTATGCAAATATCCTAACGGCAAGTTTGACATAGTGCATTTTGAAAGGTGGTCACTGGAAACATGTGAATTCAAAATTATAAGAGAGGAAAATATTTGTGACAAGATCCAAATTCAAAGCAAGCAGCTCTGGTAAAATGAAAAGGCAAGTGCTTCCTTAAAACTATTCAAGCTTTCCTTGTTATTCATCTCAGGTCTATTAGGTAAAGCAAACACTTTTGAGATGCAAAAAACAGCAGATTAAAACAGCTGCATTGTGAACATGCTACCTAGATTGGAATAATTTATTATACAGCAGTGGAGAGATGAGGTAATAAGCACATATTCCACATCATGGAATAAATGGCACTTTTCACGCCCTTTCCGTGCCTCTGAATAACACACTTAAGATGGATCTTAAAGCCACTCTGGTAGATGGTGGAAACCCAATGTTTTGTAGTTTATCTGTTGGTATCTCTGCACTGGGTAATTACTGATTCCATAGGAAAGGTCTATTGTATAAGTCCTAGTTGGAAAACAACATGCAAGGAGATCGTCTCCCGAATGATCAACTTCACATTTTCTAAAGCGGACTCTAAAACTGCTCTTACAATTTTATAAACATACAGCCATTTCTTCAGCTCGGGTAAATCAGTAGCTGAAAATGTAGCCAATCATTTCTTTACAACCCTGGTTCTGCACATGCAAACTAGGTCCAACTACATGATGTGCTTCTGGAAACATACATGCCAACCCAGACTGCCTGCCTGCACAAAAGCATGCTGCAGATGGTTGGGAATGTAATGTTTGAGATTGCAACTTGAAAGAAGAGGCTTTGGCTCCTGTTCTATAATAAAATTGGGCTCAAGTCACAAAATTTGAATCTAGATTTGAATTTCTAGTAACCCCAAAGTGAAGGATGTCCAGAACTTGGATTTTAGTTCATGTTCCTCTCAATATACATCCATTCCCTTCTCTAGTTACCACATTAAAAATGTTTAAAATAGTAAGTATGAATTGGTATTCATTTTGTATGATTCACATGTCTATGTGGGCATAGCCTAAAACAACCAATGGACATAGCAGCAGACGTCTCTATAAACATTAGCAATTATAAATCATTACTCCCCATCGGTAATTCATTCGGCCTTTAGGATTTCCCAGTGTCCTGAAGCACTTTTAGAAGCCAATCTTGAGAGTTTCTGAGAAGCATAAGCTGCTGTGGAAGCCAGTGGGAAATGAGAGAACTCAGCCTAGGATCTTATTTGCTATATTTCACATTTTGTTACTAAGGACTTCTTATTAGATGACAAGATTAATTAGCCTCCTGGGGTAAAAATCAAATCCAATCAAAATAAACTTTTAAGAATACTATTAAAAGTAATACATTTCTCTTTGAAATACATGTTGTTGCTGCCAAAGGGTAGTGTGTGTGGTGTTCAGATGGTTCTCTCTTGTACAATGCAGTGTACAGTTTTAATCTCATACATGGCATCATTATATCAGAACTGCTTACCTCTGTTTACAGTACTCCAACCCACAGCACTCCCCAAATGACACTGTTGGCCTGAGAATATATGTATTAATGTAAAATAAGCAAACAGGACTCCCGGGTTGTTTCTTCAATAGAGAAATGTGAAGTAGAGACTCGGGTGAATATGGTAAATTGAAACCATATCTGTAATCAAAAAATGCCACTTCTGAACTGCCAGGTCTGATTGAATGACAAATAAGAATCACTTCACTCAAGGTGCGACCTATACCCAACAGCCAGCAAGAAAACCTGACCCGAACTAGCTCCGTAATTACCACCTTTTCAAAGGTCTTATTGAACCACATCAAAATCAGAGAAATCGCTGCAATCTCTTTTTCCTCAGAAACCCTCCGTATCAACCAGTGTAGTCTCTTAAAAGACAGTACAATACTTAAACTAAAATCTAGAAGATTTGCTTATTTACTCTGATCCATTCCTTTTCAATTAATTCCCCAAAATATTTTACAACAAAGGCTCAAAATATAAAGGCTTCTGTACTTGCAAAATATTTCCTAGTTGGTTTCAAGGGGTAACTTTACACACAGTCGCTAAGACCTCTTCACACTTTACATATATTATAGCAGATAAATACTTTATATTCCCTGAGTAGGAAAACTGCAACAGTTCACAAAAGAGGATTTGTTTTCTACTGCTGAGGCATTAAGACTGAGTGATTATTTCAATGGTATTCAGTATATTCAGTTATATTTAAACTACACTCTAGGTTTTAACTTTGCAAAAGAAAATGTTTCCATTGCAATAAATGTATTTTGATAATGGCACTTTGGTGTTTGTGTTATGCAACAGTCAAGATGATATTAATAATGTCAATGAATTGTTTTTAAAAACTACATACTTCCAACATCCTGGGTCAAACAAAGATTGCCTACCCTTTTTCCATAGCAAAATACAGCACTGGCTTGAAAGCCGGGAAACCCAGGCTGTATTCCTGACCATGACACTGACTCATTGTGTGTACTTGGGCAAGTCACGTAACCTGTGTGCACATCAGTTTCCCTGCTGTAAAATGCGGCAGGGGGTAATATTATTTACCCACCTCACAGGGCTGTTGTGAGGATTAATTCGTGTCTGTAAAGTGCTTTGAGATCTTTGGATGAAAAGCACTAAGTGTAAAGTACTATATTATAAACTATTATTAAAGTGCTTAAAAGATGTAGAACCAGGTTTTCAAAATATCCGATAAAAGACATGTTTAACGTACATATTTTTCTTTATTGTAGAAACTCCACAGTTCAGCAGTATGAAATCCTAAATCCTTTGCAACACTGGGCCCTATTCTGATCTCACGCACACCCGATGGGTCTTTTGCCCAACTCAAATGGAAAAGGGAGCTTAGCAATGCTCTCCCTCATACAAATTTGCATGTCTCCTGAAAAACTTGTCAGCTGAAGTACAGGTGAGCATCCCAAATGTAGATGACAGAAAAGGAAACAGCACAAAGGAGGATGTTCGATGGGTTCATTGCTCCAACACCTTTGCATATATTACAAGGGGCCAAATTGCACACGGGGATACTTATAGCAAGTTACCTATTTCCCAAAATGTATCTCTTCCTCTTTCTAAATATCTTACTAAAGTGGGTGATCTGTTTCTGAAAACTATTTCCTTGATCTTTAACTACTTTTTGAAGGGAAACAATGTGACATTGTACAACCAGCATTTAAACAGCAGCAGAGCACTTCAGGACTTGCTGATTTGGCATTTTAACAGGGCTCAGCCTTTCACAGTGATCGACTCTGCTTAATTTTTGTCTCCAAAATACTAGGCACTGTTTTCACCTGATTTTATAAAATCATTATTCCACCCCACTGATGACTATGGACATGATGGTTGTTCCTCCCTGTCTGTTATTGCTGTATCATAGTGCTTAGCAGCAGTGTACTACTTCATATCGTTCCCTATTCTTGGGATTTGAGAGTTACTGTTGGAGAACTAGCATTGTTTGTTTCATTCCATTTTGGGGCATGGACAAGCTTAGGTTGACCTTGGTACATTCATATCCAAAAAGTGGATTCCTTGTTCCATTTCCCAAAAGTGGCCATTGGCACTCAGGGCAAAGTGCCAAGGAGCCGGCACTCTTGGGCATCAAAGGCAGCAATATCAGGGGTAGATTGTGCTGGGTAAGCTCCCATCACCAGAGCTTTTGGAATCTGTACCATAATCCCATGCAAGGATACATCGCACAAAACATTCAATTGGTCAAAAGGGGAATCCCAAGGACATATTGGAAATCACATTGAACTATATAGCCAATCAAACCAGGCCCAGATATTAACGGGCAAACATGTATTTGACACACAGGTCAGAATTCTTATCAGTAACACATGTAACTTACCACAAAGAAAAATCAGACACACTGCTCTCACTAAAACATTCAGAATAGGGTCCATTGATGCTCAGATATATGTGAATGCTGAAAGCTAATTGGAAATGAAGAAGAATTTATTGACACATAGTTTCAATGAATAATTTATGTTGACTTGAACTGTTCTAAGTTTTTGCTGTACCTAACGTTAATTTTATATATATATATATACACACTTTATATAAATGTACGTATTCATACAACTCCTGTATATGCTGTATATATTTATATAGCCTTTTAATACTATTACTGGTGAGAATTAAGACCTTTTTCATGCACAGTATTGCAAAGAATGTCATCTCAGTACAGAAGAAACCAACAATTGGCTTCCTCTCTTATTTTGTACAGAATCATTTTAGCCTGAATATGATTTCAGCTGTGAGAGAAAAAAAACGAAACAGCAATATGCTTTTTGAGCAAATGACCTTTTAGGGCAAGTATGTAAAAAGCTGTTTGTTTAGGTTTTAAAGATAAGGACTGATTTTTATCTGTTGATATACATATATACAGCTCGGCACTAAAATGCATTGAAAAAAACCACAGGGTGTCATGATGGGGACATATCATGATTAGAAATTAACTACTAACTGTCTTCCAGAAACTAATTAAGGGAATGTATTGTGCAATAATACAGATCTAGTAAACAGGCCTCTAATGTCTAGGCTTAGCGCTATATGCCAAGCACTCCTGTATTATGTATGTGTGATTTTCATAGATAGCCTGCTGTAAAGCGAGCCCCGTTAGTGCATCTTTAAGGCTCAAAGACACTGGCCTTGTTAATATTTCATTTAGTACATACTGTAGAGTCTCATTTATATTACTTCTATAATTAATGGTGATAGCTTAGGCACTGCCTTTACAAGGAGAGATCCCTGTATGTTGGTCAATGGATAATGAGAAACAATAGATATTTCATTCACCAGCAGCTTGTTGCTAGTTAGTAGGAAATTATTGTGTGTACTGTTGCTTTAATTGCCAGGATAAGTAATGCTGCGCTGTGTTAGTGAACATTTTAAAGCACTTGATGCAAATAGAATAGAAACAAAACAAAACAAAAAATTACCTTTATTATGCTATACCTTAGCATAGAGAGTTTAAAAGGTATGTCTTAAAACATTTGCGTTCTATCATGCAAATATATCTTAATATGCATGTGCTGACTATTCAACTACTGTATTTTAGGAAATACAATTATGCTGCCTTTCTCTTCTCCTATGTAGACTGTAAATAACTGTAGATCTTTCTCTTGTTTTCCTATGTAAATATATGTAAATACTAACAAGCTATGCATGCTGATATTCTAGGCAATTTCAGGTACTTTTATAATCTGAAGGCATGTACTTGAACTGGTTTGTTAAAAAAAAAATCAACCTTCTCAAACCCTTTAAAGCTGACTAGAAATTAAAGATTTCTTACTAGACTGGTTCCTTCAATCTCAGTTGTTTTTTGTTTACCTTTTTCCTTCTTTGTCAACATCATCATCTACTGAGACCTGCTGTTGAGGATGCTTAGTTTAGAGCTGTTTTCTTTGAAGCATGTGCATTGCCCTTCTCTCTCACCCTCCCTTCTTTCTCTCCCTGAACACAATTCACCCTTGTGCAGAGGACCTGCAGCACTTAAGTGCTACTCAAGCCCTGTTTCCAGGGTTTAAGTGAGACTTATAGACATTACACAGGCCTTCTGTAGAGAGGTGAATTTCACCCTCCTTGCTCCTATCTTTTGCTTAATTGGTTTTTATATTTCATTTTCTCAAATACCTGCTTCATCAAATAATTATCCAATGTCTACAGTGCTCAGGATTTAGTTTATGGAGAGTCGTTACGTCAGCCCATTCAAATTGGTGAAATGGGTTTGCCTAAGTGCCTGCAGTGTTGGCAGTCTCATTGCTCTGTGGTTGTGGTAGGAAGGTACCCTGCAGACTTGCTGCTCGCTCTGCTACACTTTCCTGTTTGAACATACTCTTTGTGTTTCCTCTTTAGTGTGTTTGTAACTTTGATAGACTGTGAAAATAATTTGATAAATGGCTTGATAAATTCCCCATCTCTTTCCTTCATTGCTGTAATACTGTTTGTGGTGGCCTTTCAATTGGAGGAGTGTGAACAAAAATGAAATTACCTAAGCTTGTAAATCAAGTCGTCTCCCGCATACAGATATTGTTGCAAGGTTTCAATTTAGTTCTCTTTTATTTTATTTTTTTAATAAACGAAGAGTCTCATGAAGAACATTGTTGGGAAATAAAGCACACCAAATGTTCATTCCTTAATGTTGTGGGGAAAAAACCCAGCTATGTTAGTCTCTATGGAAACCAAATGTAATGAAAACTTTTTAATGGAAAGAAAACAGCTTTCATGTTTGAAGATGCTTTTTCCAGGGTAGGTATATCAGGATAAACACTTTAATTGACAGTATCTTTGTGACTTTTTCATTTCCTCCAACTTAACTTGAAGTCTCAGGAAAACCTTCCTAGTCCTTAAAAGACTTTTTTTAAGATGAGTGTTTAAAAAGCTGAGTTGACATGGGCATTATATTCAAGTGCAAGCTGTACTATTCTCTAATAGAGAGCGTAGAAGTGGTTCATAGGATTATTATCTTTCTACAGACAAAACACATTACCTTCACACTAGGAGGGAAAAGCTAGTTTTTCACCTATATAAAATTGAATCAATTATCAATATCTTTGCATGGTTTTTTGGCTCTGCTGCGCAATGGTACTACACAGCCTTTGTTATGCTCCCAGCAATGCTGGATACATATGGTGATTTGACAAATGGACCTCTTACAGCTTTTATTGAAATAAAATATAAAATCTGCAAAAGAAGTCTCAAGGACCTTACACGCTGAATGTCAGAAGAGGAAAAAAGAAACTAAGGTTTCAGGCTGACCTCATTAGTACTGTTACTTTAAGATTATTTCCAGTAAAATTAAGTTATAAATACAAAAAAGGATAATCAAATTCAGTGGAAGACAGCAACGCATGTTAGGAAGAATCATAAGATCAAAGGATCCTGCTGTCTTGGGTTTCCCCGTCTGGGAAAATTCTGCCATAGACCCTTCACAGTCCTGTGGTCTGAGAGATGCGAAGTTACCACCAAGTCAAGTTCTATCATCTCCAGGGAAATGACTTTAGGTGGCTTTCCAGAAACCATAATGTTTCCAGAAGACAGGAGGGAAGAGACAGCCGACTGGTCGCTTTCCCTTGTGGCATATGCTGCCACATATGTGTAGCACGTACTACTTTGATTTATTCAAAATACACATCTTCATATCTTCTGCCAGACTATCTCAACCTTCTGTCCCTTGAGACAGAAATCAATGATCTTAACAGCAACCCTGGAAACATTCTACTTCATGTCTCTAGATTATGCATATATATATATATATAAGGGCTGCCAATTAATTGCAGTTAATTCATGCGATTAACTCACAAAAATTAATCGCGATAAAAAAAAGTAATAGCAATTCATTGCAGTTTTAATTGCACTGTTAAGCAATAGAATACAAACTGAAATTTATTAAATATTTTTTGAGGTTTTTCTATATTTTTAAATTACAACACTGAATACAAAGTGTACACTGCTTACCTTATATTTTTTATTGCAAATATTTGCACTGTAAAAATGATAAAAGAAATAGTATTTTTCAATTTACCTTATACATGTACCATGGTGCAATCTCTTTATCATGAAAGTGCAATTTACAAATGTAGATTTTTTTTGTTACATAACTGCACTCAAAAACAAAACAATGTAAAACTTTAGCGCCTACAAGTCCACTTAGTCCTACTTCTTGTTCAGCCAATTGCTAAGAGAAAACAAGTTTGTTTAAATTTATGGGAGATAATGTTGCCCACTTCTCAGCAGAAAGTGAGAACAGGCATTCGCATGGCACTTTTGTAGCCAGAATTGCAAGGTATTTATGTGCCAGATATGTTAAAGATTCATATGCTCCTTCATGTGTTGGCTACCACTCCAGAGGACATGCTTCCATGCTGATGACACTCATTAAAAAAAAATGTGTTAATTGAATTTTTGACTGAACTCCTTGGGGAGAATGGTATGTCTCCTACTCTGTTTTATCTGCATTCTGCCATATATTTCATGTTATAGCAGTCTCAGATGATGACCCAGCACATGTTCATTTTAAGAACACTTTCACTGCAAATTTTACAAAACCAAAGACGGTACCAATGTAAGATTTCTAAAGATAGCTACAGCACTCAACCCAGGGTTTAAGAATCTGAAGTGCCTTCCAAAATCTGAGAGGGACGAGTTGTGGAGCATGCTTTCAGAAGTCTTAAAAGAGCAACACTCTAATGCAGAAACTACAGAATCCGAACCCCACAAAAAGAAATTCAACCTTCTGACTCAGATGATGAAAATGAATATGCGTCGGTCCGCACTGCTTCTTTGGATTGTTATCGAGCAGAACCCATCATCAGCATGGATGCATGTCCTCTGGAATGGTGGTTGAAGCATAAAGGGACATTCAAATCTTTAGTGCATCTGGCATGCAAATAGCTTGCGATGCCAGCTACAACAACGCCATGCGAACGCCTGTTCTTACTTTCAGGTGACATTGTAAACAAGAAGCGGCAGCATTATCTCCTGCAAATGTAAAAAAACTTGTTTGTCTGAGCAATTGGCTGAACAAGAAGTAGGATAGAGTGGACTTGTAGCCTCTAAAGTTTTACATTGTTTTATTTTTGAATGTGGTTTTTCTGTGCATAATTCTACATATGTAAGTTCAACTTCCTTGATAAAGAGATTGCATTACAGTGCTTGTATGAGGTGAATTGAAAAATACTATTTCTATTGTTTTTACAGCACAAATATTTGTAATAAAAAATAAATATAAATTGAGCAGTGTATACTTTGTATTCTGTGTTGTAATTGAAATCAATATATTTGAAAATGTAGAAAACAACCAAAATATTTTTAAAATGGTATTCTCTTATTGTTTAACAGCACAATTAATCACATGATTAATCACGATTAATAGTTTTAATCATGCGATAATCGTGATTAATTTTTTTAATCGCTTGATAGCCCTGATTTATATGTGTGTGTGTTTGTGTTGTTGTGTTTCACATACACATATGAACCCACACACACAGACAACCCAGAAATATGGATGTTGGTGAAAACTTTCTTTATTAGACTTATCAGTTTGTCTCATTCAGGGGATCTGCTTCTACAAAGTACATAATGCTAAATGGCACATTTGCAAATTATCTTCTGAGTGCTGATGAGAAATCAGCAACCTGTAAGTTACCATGACTTTCAATGAGTAGTCCACTGCAAATCGAGTTTGCTGAAATCCCTGCCAGATGAGTGCATTGGTATATTAGGGATTTTATAAATTTACTAACAAGTGTTTGATGAAAAATAGTTGTAACATCCGTTACAGCTGTCATCACAGCCAACAAAATGACTGGGTTTTGGATACAGACGCTTTGACAAGAGAGACGTTGCTGCATTATGTTATGTTTTCTCAGTAGTAACTTCTTCACAGACTGTGCATCCTTCATAAATCCTCAACCAGACATGAAACTTTACAATTTATTATTTAAACTTCCTTCTGCTTCTTGGTTAGGCTGATGAGGAGCTGCAGCTATAGCCATCTCATTGCAGCTAACTCAGTCCTGAAACCCACTTTTCCTTCCCTGTTGCAGAAATTAAGATAGTGTGTGTGTGTAGAGAAAACTCTCGAATAGACAAGTATTGAATGGTTTTCTTTGGGAAGGGAGGACATACTGCTATGTTGTTCCTCATTGCTCAGACAAGTGGTACATCTTTGTGCCTGGCAGGACTGTGATTTGTAAACTGAATCCCTGGTAAGTGTTAATTATGAACACAAGGATGAAGCTAAAGAACGAAAAGGACTTAAGTTATATTTCATATCCAGATGACAGATTTTAATGCCACTCAATCAAATTAGCTTCAAAAACTGATAAGAGTCACACTCTAATTCAGTGTACCAGAGAAAAAATTACATTTCTAAGAAATACATCTTCATCTAGCATGTAGTCAGTGTGGGGAATTCACCACTCCAAGTGCTTACAGGGCCAAATACAGTAGCTGGACTTATAACTGGTTTATGACTAATATCAACAGCCAAGATGTGATCACCTTACTTATGCACGAGACCCATTGGCTTGAAAGAAGCGATCACAATTAGGTCCAACATTTATAGCTTCATATGATAAAGTGGTGGTAATTAAATCTCATGTTTCAGGAAATCAACTCCTCAACCTGGGGGAAAGGAAGTAATTTTCCCTTGCCCATGAATAACATTGCGCAATTGGTCAGATGGATTATGGGTTCCCCCCCCACACACACACTATCCTTCTGAAAGACTTGGCATAGGTCACGGCTGCAGGCAGGATTACCATACGTGACAGACCATTGTAGCAATGTACCATGGTAA